GAAGATTTTTATACATCAGATATTAAAATGTCCTATACAAGCTGAATAAAAAACTAGTTTAAAAAGAGCTTGTATGACATTAAAATAAATACTTTGAGCTAATTTATTGCACTAACCTGTCAGAAGGAAAGAGATTATCAGAAAAAAATCCAATTGATGCCAAAAACTGCACTGACTGCGCCTCAAAATATAAATAAAGGGCCCAAAAATATAAAACCAATTTAGTTGGTTTTTCACAATAATTTAGTGTAAAAAAAAAAAAGTTCACAGTTTTAAAATTTATAGCTTCAAAGTAACAGAAAGTGCTTATAGGACTGAAGAAATCAGCAGCGTCTGCTCCCACTTTGTTTGGTTTGTCGCAAGTGACCCTGACGTATTACTTTCATTAACTCGATGCATCTTTGATTAAAAATTTACCGTGGCCCTGAGGTGCAAAAGCACAACGTTTGAAAAAACGGAGTTACATTTGGAAAAAACATAACAAAAACAACAAAAGCACAACAACATTTGAAAAACTGAATTATGTTAAGCCAAAGCGGAAGTGGCCAAAGCGGAAGTGGCCGGAATAACATTTGAAAAAAATAAAATAAAATTAATAACAGAATTACATTAAGTTAAAGCGGAAGTGGACAGAAACACATTTGAAAAAAAAATGGAATTACATTTGAATAAACGGAATTAAATTAGGAAAAAAACATAACAAAAACAACAAAAGCACAACAACATTTGAAAAACTGAATTATGTTAACCCAAAGCGGAAATGGCCGGAATAACATTTAAAAAAATGAAATTACATTTGGGGAAAAAAGTAAAACAACACAACAGAATTACATTAAGTTAAAGCGGAAGTGGCCAAAGTGGAAGGGGCCAAAGTGGAAGTGGCCGGAATAACATTTGAAAAAAATAAAATAAAATAAAATAAATAAAACAGAATTACATTAAGTTAAAGCGGAAGTGGCCAAAGTGGAAGTGGCCAAAGTGGAAGTGGCCGGAATGACATTTGAAAAAACAAAATTACATTTGGAAAAAAAGCTAAACAATAGAATTACATTAAGTTAAAGCGGAAGTGGCCAAAGCGGTGGCCAGAAACACATTTGAAAAAAAAATGGAATTACATTTGAAAAAACAGAATTAAATTAGGAAAAAAACAGATTTACATTAAACCAAACCATAAGTGGTGTTTTTTTTGTTTGTTTTGTTTTTTACTTTATTAACAACATAAAACAGAACAACAGAACAATGTACGGTAACAAGATAAATATAAAATACAAACTCTCGTGAAGGGTGTGGGGTCCGTGTACCGTTGTATTTTTTTAATCCCTCATGAAAATGAATAATGAAATAAGTCTTTTTTTAATTTTATTGATCCTCTATGAAAAAACAACTGAACAAATTGTGCACAGACCTCACACCCTTCACGAGAGTTTTGTATTTGTATCTTATTACTGTAAATTATCTTTTATGTTGTTAATAAAGTAAATTTTAAAAATCACTTACGGTTTAGCTTAATGTAATTCTGTTAATTCAAATGTAATTCCATTAATTCAAATGTAGTGCATTTGCACCTCAGGGCCACCGTGGAAATTAGATCGTTGCATCTTTAGCGAAGTCGCACAGTGCGGAGGACAACACACACAGAAAAGTTAACTTCTTATCAATAACCTTGTAATGCATGTTGTGATGTTTGCTCGTCTGCAGACATGTCCAGCACGGTCATGGCAGCTCCGTTAGAAAGAAAAAGGACCACGGACCCATCTTCTCATGACAGAAACCTTCTCATCGCTCACAGAAGCTCTTATTACTTCTCTCCCTCGTCCCTTCAACTCCCCGAGTCTCCCCTTAAGTTCCATCCATCAAGTCTATCGATCCAGCCTCCCCCTGCTGTGCCTCCTGTCTGTTTTTTAAAACTAAGTGAAACGGATGGCAGAACTGGCATGAGGTTTTACAGCTTCCCAGCCCCCCCGGGATGTACAAGGTGAAGAGGAGACTGTTGTTTTTACAGGAAGTGTTCCTCCATAGATCTAAATGAAGGAGCTCTCCCTGAGGAAACACTAACAATGTGAGTTTTTTCTGTCTTGGATAATAATCCATCCTTTGTCCCGGTGCTCTGCAGTCGCTGCTCCTTCAGGCGCTACAAATGACACAGCAGCACAAACGTATCGTCCTCCAGCTTGGGCCAAACCTCACGGCCGTGATGATGTTTCACCGTAGTGACTGGGCGCTGCGAATCTTTTTAAAGGGATTTGGTGCCGTGTCGCACACAGTTTCTTTTGACTTTGATCGTGTGACGCTCGTGTTTTCATGAGGAGAGCCGAGTTTAAGCTTTTAAAACGATTCTCTGAGAAAAACATTTGGGAGCAGACGGACTTCAAACTGGGACTTACCTCAGACTGTGACAGCATCTGGAAGAGTTTGACTTTTCCCCAGACCCCTCCTAAAACATTGTCTTCACGGTCCGTCAGCGTGAAGGGTAAACATGAAACAGAGCTGACGTGTATTTTTCATGTACAATAAATACATTTGGCATGTTTGTTCACAGAAACACAACAGATCACAGTTTTTAGAGGTTTTTTTTTAAGCGGTTTATCAAAATTTTCAGCTCATTCAAGAAACAAGTGCTATGATGCTTGGTTTAAATATGTATATAGTATGTTCAAAGTTATGCATTAATGTTCCAAAACATGAACTTTATTCTTCTTGAGCCATTCTTTGGTAGAACATCTTGTCTGCTGAGGGTCATTGTGTCGCTGCGTGACCCACCTTCTCTTCAGATCCAGTTCATGGACAGATGTTCTGACATTTTCCTTTAGAATTCTCTGATATAATTCAGAATTCATTGTTCCATCGATGACAGCAAGAAGTCCTGGCCCAGATGCAACAGAACAGGCCCAAACCATGATACCACCGCCACCGTGTTCCACAGATGGGATAAGGTTCTTCTGTAGGAATGCAGTTGTCCTTTCTCTAAACAGAACACTTTTCATTTAAACCAAGAAGTTCTATTTTGGTCTCATCCGTCCACAAAACGTTCTTCCAACAGTTTTCTGGCTCGTCCACGTGATCTTTATCAAACTGCAGACGAGCAGCCATGTTCTTCTTGGAGAGCAGTGGTTTCTCCTTCTACCCTGCCATGAACCATTGTTGTTCAGAGTTCTCCTGATGGTGGACTCATGAACATCAATGTGAGAGAGAAGTTACCCTGGGCTCCTTTGTGACCTCATTATTCCACACCTTGTTCCTGGAGTGATGTTTGTTGGTCCACCACTCCTGGGGAGGGTCACAATGCTCTTGATGTTCCTCAATGTGTACACCATCTGTGTGACTGTGGATTGGTGGAGTCCAAACTCTTCAGAGATGGTTTGTAACCTTCTCCAGCCTGATGAGCATCAACAACTCTTTTTCAGAGCTCCTCAGAAATCTCCTTTGTTCCACCAACATGTAGTGAAGATCAGACTTTGATAGATCCTGTTCTTTAAATCAAACAGGGTGCCCACTCACACCTGATCATCATCCACTGATTGAAAACACCTGACTCTAATTTCACCTTCAAATTAACTGATAATACCAGAGGTTCACATATTTTACTACTCACAAATTTGTTATATTGGATCTCTGTATCCACTTTTAGGACTTGTGTGAAAATCTGATGATGTTTTAGATCATATTTATACAGAAATATAGAAAACTCTAGAGGCTTCACAAACTTTCAAGCACCATTGTATGAAGTTGTTTTTCCAGATTTGACCAATATGGTACAACTCCATCATTTTTCAGAATTAAATGATCCTACTTAAAAACTCTGCCATGAAAGGTGATGATCAATTTTCCTTCAAGGAATTCCAGGTCTGTATGTGCCGGTACGTATGGGATGCACCTTAGGTTGTTGTCCGGGGTGTTTTGCAGGTTGATTTGTGATCCATGGGCACAATGCAGACACTAAACCTGTCATTAGGGATTTAGATCAAAGAAGAAATTGTCTCCAATGTGGCTACAAGCCCACATCTGGACATGGAGGGGAGGCAGGGTAGAAATGAAAACTTTGGATTGCAATTACCCCGTCTACCTCAAAATGACATCAAGACCTCAGTTTGAGGTTTAACTTAAATGTTTAGTTTTTGTTTTATCCTCCTTTAATGGTCAGAACATAGAGCATTTAACTTTATTGCAAAATGGTGCAATCAGTACTACTTTCTCTAAATGCCCGTATAGTTTACCGGAATAAAACGGAAAAAGTGCCAAACAGACTGCATCAGAGGTATTTGTCCTGTGGGGAGAAGGTAAGATTACAAGGCTTTAAATCCTGTGTGCTTCTTTATTAAAGCGGTCGTCGCGAGGCTGCACAGCTTATTGGAGCTAAAAACTCTTTAATGACTTTTCATCATTACAATATTATCGTTGTGCAACTTCCGGTGGTCCCACGGGGTGTTGTTTTAATTTGCAGTTTGAGGAAAAGGCCCAACAATTACTAGAACCTTTAATTTATTTTAAAAACATCTTTGCATCTTAAAAAGTGTGTTTCATGTTCAAGTACTTGACGGCATTTTAAAACCTTTCCATGTTGCTGTGTTCATGTGGTGGTGCCCAGTTATAGAAATCAATGTTTAACAACCAGTTGTGGGACCTCCCTTTGTCATGTGTATTTATTAAAGGTTTGGTTGATTCATTTCTGGTCACTCGTAGTCCAGCACGACTGTCCTCCTTCCTGGTCCTTGTGCGGCTGAGAAAGTTGATTCTGGAGCCGCATATTTTAGTGCCGTGCACAACTGGTGGGTTCTTTTTTTTTTTTACAGGGTTATGTCCCTTTGAAGTCTGCATTTGTCTTTGGCAGCATGGCAGAGGTCTTCAATGGGCAGTGCAACACCTTCTCAGACAAAGGTTCTCCAGGTGGCCCTGTTGGCTCCAGCGTCGTCCCAGATCTTGAGGTCTGTGTGGCACTTTGTTTGTTTGATAGTTTTCCCAGTACAAGCTGCAAGTGCAGGATTTAAATTAAGGGATGGGAGTCAGGCATAAGGATGAAGTCCATCTGAGTTGTTGTTGGTTGCAGTGATGGTGGTGATGTCAGCCTCCTCCTGGTGTTTGTGTGCTTTACCACCCAGCAGATTCCGATGATTTTCCAGAGACCTCTCTAATAAGGTTCCTTGAGTTCTTTCAAGTGCTTTCTGATCCACACAGAAGGTTAGGTATCACTACAGACGTATAGTCCAGAATTTCTTGTCCGGTCTGTAGGTCGCAGTTCTGAAAGTCCCTTACCTTAAGTCTTGTGAAGGCCCCCGATTTTATTATTATTGCAAGCCTTAGATGTTAGAAGGCTGCTAAGGTGTGTGAAGTGGTCCACGTAGTTATTGTTTGGGGCATGTTTGGTAGTTGAACAGAAGTATTTGTGGTGGGTAGCAGTTGATGGAGAACTTTAGTCTTCTTTATCTTGATGGCAAAACGAAACTGCTTGTATGTTTTGTGTAATGTATCCAGAGGGCTGTATACGTCTTCTGAACAGGCTACAAGGGCATTATCGTCACCACAGCTCCCAAACAGATACCATGGTGGTTTGACCTTTAGTCCTTCACCACTTGCTCTTGTCAAGGGCGGACGCATTCCCTCTCCTCTCCCTCCTCCGCTTTGCTCTGTCCTGTCTGTGAAACTGCTTCAGAGCCTCTCTCTACATATCTTCCAAACCGTAATTTTTTTTGCTATGGATCTGGTCAGTTGGTCTCTCAACGCTACTGATAAAATTTCCTCAACGAGAAGACAAGCTTCAGGCGAGCCGACTTTTCTCGACAAGAAGATAAGCGCCAAGGATGCATATAAAATTGGATTTATGATAACTGGTTTCCTGCTTTTTGGAATCGGCTGGTTTCTGGTCTAAACAAACAAGGAAGTCATCGGCAGCAAATTTGGCCCTGGTCAGACTGCCTGCGTCTGTCCACTTAATTTGGACATTTGGGATTCAAGAGGACCAGCAAAGACTCAAGGCAAACATGAATCGGTAAAGTCCTGCCTGTCCCCAAAACAAACGTTTATCTGAATTCGGCTCCCTGTCTGGCCTTGACTGACCACCTTATCTCAATTTGCCTGGAGGCTCTGTAAATTGCTTCTCTGCCCCCTCGTTTCCCCTCCCACCAAGGAAGTCTGCAGACCTATCAGAGGGACCTGGCTGGATAAACGTCATCATTTCAGGACTCTCGGATTCTCTGGCGCTGTTCCAGGTCGACCTCGGCACAAGAGTGTTTATGGATCTCACCGGGGGAATTGTCTGATTGTACCAGTCTTATCAGAACTCTTACAGTGTCTCTGGAGTGTCACTGACACGATCACCGCTCTTGTCGTCTCCCCTCCCCTGCAGAACGTCTGTCACTAAGTGCCTATGTGTGGGGTGGTTTTTCAATATCAGGGTCTTTCTCCTCAGTCAAGGTGAAAAAGTTTGAGAGTATTTTTTGCCTCAAAATCCTATACATGTCACTTTGATTACTTTTTGTCTGTCTAAACAGGTCTCACTTGTAAATGAGCCTTTGAGGCTCATTGTGAGTTCTCTGTCTAAATAAAGGTTAAATAAAAGAATGAAATGAATGAATGAATTAATTTAGTCCTGAATATTTTGTTCTGAACGTAAATTTGAATCCTGGGGACCAATGTTGAGCAGTGAAATGGAAGGTGTTGGTAATGAAAATGAAGAACATCATAAGTCCAATGACACAGCCCTGCGTGACTCCATTGTGAATTGTAATGAGTTCTGTCTCATTGCCACTACTTCTGAGCACTTCTGCTGGCATGTCATCATGTAGCAGTCTTATCAAATATACAAATATATCACGTGTGTTTGAAAGGAAACTTAATTTGATCCCTTCTCCATCAAATGTTAAAACTGTTCTGTTTCAGTGGTTCCTCTGTCAATGTTTTAACTCATTTAAAAAAAAGAGGAACTATAAAAATAATACAAGCTCAGTTGTTGTTTTTATTTGTCTTGTTCTCTCTCCGGGTTTAACAAAGACAAATGCAGATTTAGAACTAGAAATATTGGCATTTATGTGATTTTTATTTTTATTTTCAACATGCTTGTTAAGTCCACAGAAGAGTTTCTGTCTATTTTGATCAGCAGAATTTATTTAACAGCTCAGAATAAATTTGAATACGAAGATTTGAAACCACCACAGTGGTACGTTCTCTGTCCAGTTTCATTCAACGCTGCAGCTTTTCTC